TAGGCAGGCGCGGCGGGGCCAGGCAGGCGTGACGGGGCCAGGCAGGGCGCGACGGGGCTAGGCAGGGCGCGACGGGGCCAGGCGGGTGCGACGGGGCCGGGTAGGGCGCGACGAGGCCGAGCGGGCGCGACGGGGCCAGGCGGGCGCGACGGGGCCGGGCAGGGCACGACGAGGCCGGGCAGGATGCGATGGGGCTAGGCAGGGCGCGACGGGGCCAGGCGGGCGCGACGGGGCCGGGCAGGGCGCGACGGGGCCGAGCGGGCGCGACGAGGCCGAGCGGGCGCGACGGGGCCAGGCAAGGCGCGACGGGGCCAAAAGGCGTGACGGGGCCCAGGAGGGGCGCGACGGGGCTAGGAGGGGGCGCTGGGGGCCTAGGAGGGGCGCGACTGGGCTAGGGGGGTCGCGACGGGGCCAGGAGGCGCGACGGGGCCCTGGAGGGGCGCGACGGGGCCCAGTAGGGGCGCGACTAGGCTAGTGGTGCGACGGGGCCCAGGAGGGGCGCGATGGGGCTAGGGGGTCGCGATGGGGCCAGGCGGGGGCGCGACGGGGCTAGGGGGGCGCGACGGGGCCAGGAGGCGCGGCAGGGCCCAGGAGGGGCGCGACGGGGCTAGGAGGCGCGACGGGGCCCAGGGGGAAGCGGCGGGGCCTAGCTAGGGTACGGGCGGAAGCGGTAGGTGGGGGATCCTAACCTACGCGTGATACCATGTTAGAATGAGAACTGAATGATTGAGTAGAGAGAGAGTACAGGAGAATATACCTAAGTGTTGTACCCTCTAAGAGATGGCCCTATACAGTCTATGCAAACATAGGAGATACACATGTTTGACACCCTGACACCTCGCGCCAGCACGATTCGTATCAGAAAAAGAAGTTTCCAGCCTGGCACCGCGTTGACTGGACTTCCAACGCGATTGACTTTAAATCCTCGCCTAAAATTACTCCCATTGCACACGACAAACCAGCAGCTACATGTCGATGTCAAAATTTTATTTTCCATATAATCCCTTTAAAATGCACATGGGCTTATATTTTTTATTCAATTCAACGCCCCCCCACGTTTTCAAACCAGTCTAGTAAACGCCCCTAGGGGCATCTATCCGGGTGATTACGGTACCGCTAAGTGACAGGTTTACCCGCGTCAATCACGCCGCGTGGCTGCAATGTTGGGCTATCGGCGTGACATCTGACGCGGATTCCCCTCCACCGTTGCTAGCACACTAGCGACTGCGCATTGTGATTGGGTGTTAGCCAAATTTCAGCTAAGTAAACCAATCGCCAGAGCTTTTTGTGACTCAGCTGCATAATCGCTAGTACAGCAGTGCAGAAAAGATGCTCCCCCGGAGCGCACACCTGAAGATTCCAGAAAGGGGTACCCCCGCGAACGTTGCATGGGCAGCAGCAGAACCGCACCGCGTTCTTGAAGGGGTCGTCTGCTCCAGCGTGTTCTCCATCGTCTGGAAGTAGGCTTGTCTTGGCCCGCAGTGTCATTTCTTCCTTGACGCCTGTTAGTAATGGTTTAGGACCCTGATTGCGCTCCTCTCGTCATGGCGGAATCGGGTGGAGACAACGACGTAGGCGACGACGATGCCTGGCAGGTCGCCGACGAGCGCGAAATGCGCACGGGGCTAGACCTGTTACTGTCGTCCCTCGGTAGTATTCTGTTAGCACCGCCGCTTCCAACACATCTCGATGAACCGAGTTCCAGTCGCCCTCCTTCTTCGCCAGAAGCACGTCGTATCGTGCGAACTGCAAGCCCGTTCTTATCTTCATCTCCCACTCGTCCAGCTTCTGTACTAGATTCTGTAGCGTCGCCGACTGCCGCGAAGCCCACCCCTCGGACTGGCCGTTATCGACAGATACGACTGTCTTTTGCACCTCCGGCGAAAGATTGCGAACCTGCCGCTTCCGACTCCGACGACGACGAGGAAGAGGCAAAGGTGCCGTCTGCTGGGCGGAAGAGGCTGACGCCAGAAGAAACATATGCCGACGCGTTGGACCGCTTCCAATCCCGCTGGTCTAAGGCCTATCCATGGCTTCTCATCACAAAAACTGACAGCGGCCTGCCCGCTTTCAAGTGCTCTGTGTGCACCGAACATGCAGGTCTGAAGGGGAAAACTGGCAGGAGCGGGCACGGAGCGACCGACGTGCAGGTCCAAGCGTTCAAGAAGCACGCTGCGACTACTCGACATGAGCTCGCGGTGGCCAAGCAAATCGACTTGCTGCAGATGGCGACCAACCAACAACGCATCGACCAACACCCGCTCGCTCAAGACCTGGAGCTGCTTCACGTGTCTTCATTGCTCGACGTGCTCTACTTTTTCAGCCGCTGCAACGAGCCGATGGAGACGTGGATTCGTCTCACGCGATACCTGGCGGAGCGGAAATTCTGCGGCTTTCTAGAGCAAGGCTACGGAACGTACTACAACTCGTAAGTCTCCGACCGTGTTTAGTTTTTATCTGCATTCGCGACTTTTTCACGTCCTCATCTCTCTTTTTGTGATACCATGGAAGGTATGGCTTCGGCCAGTTCACACAAGCCCTCGCGACATGGCTCCAGACCACTCAGCTCGAACACCTCATAGCCAGCCCCTTCATCGGCCTCAGTCTTGATGAGAGCACCGACCGCTGTCGTGGCAAACACATGATTGTGTTTGCCACCTTCATTCGGGAGAACCGTCAAGTGACGGAACTCCTTGCGCTCCTCACAGTTGACAGGGCTGACGCTGCCTCGTTGCTCTCGCTGTTGTTGTCCCACATCCAGGCTATTGGTATGGATCTACGCCGAATCTCCGGCATCAGTACTGACGGCGCTGCCGTCGTGCTCGGGAAGACGCCTGGCCTTGTCGCTCGACTGAGAGTGCTTGTCCCACACCTCGTGTCATGCCACTGCATCGCCCATCGGTAAGTGTTATTCAAGAGTTTCCTGCTTTCGTATACCCGCGAGACGTGTTTTACCACATTCGTTTTGTACTTGCAGGGAGGCGCTGGCGGCCAAGGATGTCGCGGAAGAGATGAAGAGTTTTGGCATCGTCGACGACTTCATCAAGGAGATTGCAGAGTTCCTCGGTCGTTCTGGACCCTGGCATCAACGCTTCAAGGACCTGCAGCAGATGTTCAACGACACCAACCTGGAAGTGCAGGGGATCCACGCCATCCGATGGCTCTCTCGCGGTGAGGCGATCCTCCGTCTTTTGGATGTGCTACCAGCTGTGCTGGTCATGGTCACGGAGCTGAGGAACTCGAAGTTTCTGGCTATTGTTCGGAGCTATCGTTTTTGGTTCTTTTTGCACTTTCTGGCTGATATTCTTGAGCAGCTCAACATCCTCAACAAGGTGTTCCAGCAGCGGGAGGTGCGTCTTTCTCAAGCACGTGCATATGCTTATCATGTTATCCTGTCTCTTATTTCCCCACCCACCTTCGCCCCGTGAACACCTCTCCTCGCAGCTGGACTACGCGGCCGTCGCCAGCCAGATCGCGCAGACTACCGGGTTGCTGGAGAGCCGGTATGTCGACTGCAGCGACGACTTTGGCGGCACCGAGATGCCACGGCTCGGCCAGTTCCTCACCCGTCACGGCCCGAACGGTACTCCAGAAGTCACCGTTGACGGAGTTGCATCGGATGGCCGTCCCGTCCGCATCACCGTAAGACTCCATTTTGAAGAGATCGACAGCTACCCCGGGGAGGGAACACACGAGGCCTGTGTCGACGACTGCACGGCCTTTCCTGAGGGGCTGGTGAAGGGCTTGGACGAGCGTCTCGGGGACCTGGAACAGCTCGCGAGATGTCGCCTCTTCTCTGCTGACACCTGGCCGCCAAACTGGGAGCGCTCCGCCAGGCAGAAGTAGTGCCTGGAGTGGTTTGACCTGCTGGTGCAGCTCTACAAAGCGAAGGATAGCGAAGAGATTCTGCCAGGTGCTGTCTACCGTCTGAGTTGCTTTGTGTTCCGTCTCCCTTTTCACGCATGTTGAGATTCCTTTGACTATCTTATCTTTCAAACCTCTTAAAATCCCCCGCTCGTCTTTCCCGCCCCCTCCTGGCATTAACAAGAGGAGGGCGGCCAAGGAGATTCGCCACTTCGCTCCCATGCTCGCACGGCTGACCACCGTCGACCGCAAGTTCTATGCCGGCCTCACCGCTGTGCTCAAGACCAGCGACTGGAAGATCCACTACCCCAATCTCATAGGGTTGTGGGTGGCGGTGGCCGTGCTGCCTCTCAGCACTGTCGAGTGCGAGCGTGGCTTCTCCCGCCAGAACCTGATCAAGAGCTGGCAGCGTGGCAGCATCAAGGATGCCCGGCTTAGCGATCTCATGGTGATGTCTATGCTAGGCTATACCCCGGATTACCCCGCTGTAGTAGAGATCTGGAGGGCGTACAAGAAGAGGAGGCCCCATTCCACTTGTCGGCCCCGTCCCCAGAGCAGGAAGGGCAAGGAGAAGGTGGATGATGATGATTGTAGTGACCCCATGGATGATGGGGGGAAACTAGATGCTTATGTAGACGTTGAAGATGAAATGTAATGACTGTCATTAATGAAAGTGGCTTCGTGAAGTTTCAGTGTTTTTTTTTTAACCAAGGCTGAACATTCAGCGAAACTTTTTTAGTCAAGGCTGTAACATTCAGCCTTTTTTTCCAGGGGGGGGCTGAGAAATCAGCCTAAGTATGGGGGGCAAGGATGATAAATCAGCGTGCCTAAAAACGAATCTTGGGGCCTGCTGCTAACGATAATGAATAGTTTCTAGGTTTCCAATGCAAAATACCTCAACATAAGATCCCAGAGGGTCTTATCCCACCACATAAAATCGGGCCTTGTATTGTGCATTGGTCTGGATAAGACCCTTCACCTAGTCTTATCATTTTGAGGGGCACTTTAATCCACAAAATACGGTGTTATATGATTCCTAATTATCCTTTCTATGTGAGAGACGCCATGCCCGTCAAAGTAACGGGGATGACGCCATGCCCGTCAAAGTGTTCTGCTTTGCTTGCTGTTTCGGCTGGAAGCTGATCTCTGTCCACCGCGATTCGCGAACCCTTTCCTAGCTACGCTGAGCCACTCCGCGCGCCTCGCTGTCGCTCGCTTTTCGCCTCCTGCGTGGTTGCTTCGCGTGCGACAGGCATAGCGTAGCCGCTCAATCGTGCAACGCGAAGCATCGCCAGTGCACCGTGCAATTTCTTCCGCCAACTCGCACTAGCTTCGCGCGACTTCTTGCTGACGGCAGGTGAGGCAGACGGCTATCCGTCTGAGCCAGGTCCGACAGACCGCTAGCCGTGCGGCCGCGCAAGTTCCGGCGTCGTGGGGGAACGCGCCGTTTCCTCAGTGAGAGAGCGCCGTCCTTATTCTCCCCCGGCCCGCTCTTCCCCAGTTCTGCCCGCTCTCCCGCGCTGGCCCGCTCTCCCGCGCTGGCCTGCTCTCCCGCGCTGGGCGCGCCTCCACCCCACGATCCCGCGGGCTCGTCTTCCCCTCTCGTGAAGCGAGTCTCTCGCTCTCTTTTCCGCCTCGTTCTTTTCCGTCTCGTCCTCTTCCGCCTCGGTCTCTTCTCCGCCTCGTTCTCTTCCGCCTCCTCCGTTTTTCTCACAATCCTGCGAGCGCCCTTCCGCCTTTCTCCGTCTCTTCCTCTCTTCCCTCTCTCACTCTCTCACTCTCGCTCCTCCACTCCCCTCCTCCCCCCAACCCCGTCCCCACGTCTTCCTCCTTCCCCTCCTGCTCTCCCTTTGCAGTGCTAACGCGATGGGGGCCACACCCACAGACGCTTGACGTTTGATACTACAGGCGAGAGCAGCCGGGGCAGCACCTCTGTCGTCCAAGAGTCAGTGCAGGAAGGAAGGGAATCTTCGCAGTATCTTTTGGCCTGACTGCACGGCACGTCGGGGAAGTGCGGCACAGCAAGCCGCGTTTGCTGCGAGCTGCAATGCTGGTGTGGAGTTGAGAGCAAGGGAAGCAACGCACGTGTTGGCGTTGGGAGCTAGAGAGGCTGTAACAGGAGACGGGTTGGTTTCGGTGCAGCAATCAGCATTCTGTGCAGTGCAGCACGAGCGTTGGCAAAGCTTGCTGCCGCTGGCAGGGGCGTGCTGCCGTTGGCAGGGGCGTGCTGCCGCTGGCAGGGGCGTGCTGCCGCTGGCTCTGAGGGCAACTCACCGATGGAGCAAGCAGGGGCTGCAGCGCCGCCACAGAGCTTCGAAATATTCCCAGTGCGATGGCAGTGGGGAGGTGGAGTGGGAGGGTGGTGAATGGGAGGGTGGTGAATGGAAGGGTGGTGAATGGAAGGGTGATGAATTGAATTGAAGAGGATAGGTAGGTAGTTGAACATTCGTCCGGCGCCCTATGGGCGGTGGGAGGTGGGATGGGGGTTTGATGCAGCACTCGAGGTTTTCAGTTATATTTTCTTTTCAAGACGAATACTCTTGCCATCCCTTCTCGGTTCTCGCATTTGTTCGTTCTCCTAGTCACTGACACTGATCCTTCAATCCGTTCCTCCCTCCATATTGTCACACTCCTGCGAGCCAGCTCATAGAGGCACTTGCTCTCTTCTTCCCCATATTGTCACACTGCTGCCTGTCAGCTCATTGAGTCACTTGCAGATGCCATGCAAGCGGGAGCAGGAGACGCGGCAATCCAAGGGCTGGTGAGATGATCGGGGTGTGAGCGTACACGTGGCGGTTCATGGGGGGTTGTGAGTCAGTTTTCATCAGCAGGAGCAGGAGAAGCGGCAATCCATGGGGCGCGAGGCACCATGGGGTGCGGGGCACCATGGGCAAATGTGAGTCACTGCTGATCTATAGTACACCATCTCAGCCTCGCTTTCGCTTCCTATGCATTTCACTTTATTCAAGAAGGCACTGGTGCTCACTCAGATGTGCTGTGCAGCACATGCAGAGATAGGAACACATGCAGAGATAGATAGGAACACATGCAGAGATAGATAGGAACACATGCACACATGCACACACCTATCAAGGCGCACACATGCACTTACCAATGTGCACACACACATGCGCTTATTGATGTGCACACATGCACCCTTCAATGTGCACACGTGCACTTATCAATATGCGCACATGCATGCACCCTCAGCCTCTTGCTTCATTCTTTTCTCCCTACTCTCATCTGCTTTGCCCATCTTCCTCCGTCTTATCTCCCCTCACCACCCTCTCAGGTGGCGGACCTAGTGGGCAGGTTTGATGCGTGCTTCAAGGCGCTTCAAGAATCCAACTCCACCCTGCCAGAGGTGAGTATGGTGTTTCGGCGCTCAAAGGTGAGGTGCTTCAAGGTGCCCCTAGGTGCTTCAAGGTGCTCCAAGGTTACAGGCACTACTGCAGGTGCGGCAGCAGTATTGTCATCCCTTGTATGCGAATCGACTATGTCTAAACCAAGCAGGCTCCCGGCGCTTACAGCTCCAGGCGCTGCACATGTTCCTGTTTCCGGAACATTTATTGTTTTCCAGTTGTGATTGTTTGTATTACTGTGTCGAACCCCGTTGGTTGGTTGCGACATGGAGCCGATGGCATATGAGCTGAGTTGGACATAGCATGCGTGCCGTCCGTCTGAATTCATGACTGGCTGTAACGCAATATCAAACAGCACTGTAAACCCTTGAATAACGGCACTCCCAGTGTCCAAAGCCCTCTTTTCCATCGTCGATATCCCGCTGGCAGAGCCTTGGGGAGCAGCGCGCCCAGCTACATGCCCTCCAGCAGCATCTGGACGCCCAAAGGTACGCTGAGTGAAGGGATCAGATGCATTTCTGTGGAGATTTGATGGCTCTTTGCAGCAAGAGAATTGTAAAAGCATGACGCATAGGGTCACTGAAGGCATAGATTTTACTAAAATTTTGTATCTGTTTTCAGAGTTAAGCGCGTTGAACGTGAGCCAGTTCCACATTTGTCGGAGAACTTCACATTTGATGTGCTAAGCAATGTAGAAGTAACATATATCGTAGCAAGCAATGTGGTGGCTCATCAGCCTAGTTCGTTCTCTCCAGTGCTATGCCTGGCTTCGAACTGAATTTGCATTTGTGTTCCTCTTGCTGTGCCTTCTATTTTCCAGAGAAACTTTGGACAAGCTGCTTGGCTTGAAGACCCGTTCTAACAAATGAGTGGACCAGAGGCTTTTTCTGATGTTCACAATAATCTCCTCTGCCAAAACAGGTGATCGTAGGAAAATGCCACTAATATGCTGTATTTTGTGCCAAGTAGGCTGCATGTATGGTTATCCCCTCGAAGGTATACACTGTCGGTCTGTACTTACACCGAATATTCAATCGACGGCTGAGTGGCGCGCCACCCGTCACCAATCAGCCCTCTATTTCCGAGTTTTTCGTCTCCTTTCCCGCAACCCCTCCCTTCCCTCCCCTCCTCGCTGCCCTGCCAGCACTGCACGCCCCAGTGTCGGCGGATCCAGTTGAGTGGAGCCTCAAGATTAGACAGCGCTCCTGCGAAGTTTGGACAGGAGGAGAGCAAAAAGTGCAACGGGTGTGATGTGTCTGGAGGGAATTCCACCTCTTGGCACGTGTAGCTTGTTGCTGACGTGACGTCGTATGAATCCAATTAGGCGTCGCACGCTGCTCGCAACCAAACCGGAAGAGGCAAAGGAAAGTACCACGTGTCAGGTTGGAACTTTTGGCCGTGAAGAAAACAAACGGCCACCTATTTCATATTTTTCTTCACCCAGTTCTGCCCAAAACGGGCAATTTCTGTGTTGCGCAGGTACTACTGCACGTGTAGGTTCAATGCGCTCTCTTTCACACAAAAAAAACCGGTGTTGTGTACGTGACGTTGACCGGCATGTTCCGGTTGAAGATTGGGCCAATCCTGACGCCCAACGTGGTCGCAATCCGTCGTATAGGGTGTTCGCTCGGCTGTAGGCCAGTGGGTTGCTGTTGTCCATGTTCGTGCACTCTATGCTGAGCACGTGTTGACACGTCGGGCCACGTCACCTGCTTGCAATTCCTGTCCAAACTTCGCTGTCTGTCCAAACTTCAGGAACGCGATCTTAGAGACGAAACCCTTGAAGCTTTGAGGAGGCGGGAAAGTTTGCAAATGATTTAAACACGGCCTCGTAGGGTGCCAAAAGCTTATGAGGGGATTTAGTGTGGTGGCGAGTCGATATTGGACCTACCAGACTTGGCATCGCCAACTTTTTCCGACATTGACATCTTCCCCGTGCGTTGATTGAAACATCCGCCACTGCTCGTTTCGACCAGAGATATTTGCTCTCCCAGGGATTGAACTTCGAAAACTAGTGCTTGAAAAGCCAGACGAGTCTCTTTGCCCCAGCCATCGAATATCTTCATTCGACTCTTGTTACTCTCGTTACAGTCACGTCACAATGAAGCAGGAGCAGCACGAGGTACTGAGCACAGACCACGTGAAACTCTGCGTCAATACATGGCCGGCGCGGCCGAGCTTCGACGGTGGAGAGTACGAGCAGCAGAAGAAGCAGGCGCTGCTGGCGGTGATCGTGCACCCCTACACGCGCATGGGTGGCTCGCAGGCCGTCACGCAGGGGCTTGCGGAAAGCCTGTGTCTGCGCGGATTCAAGTGAGTTCCCAGGTTTTTAAAATATTTGTTTTTCGAGGCGCCTCAGAAATAGCCACGCAGGGAGTCGCGGAATGCGCGTGTCTCCGCGGAAGCACGCGTTTCTGGCGGTGCTCGCCGTGCATCCCAACTCGCGCCGGCGCACAGATGGTGGTCACGCGCGGAGGGTCGCGGACGGTCGCGGAGGGTTGCGGAGTGCCTATTCCTCCGCGGGTTCGAGTGAAGTGCGTGAGCTTCGAGAGATTTACGACGCGCGTTGGCATGGTCGATATTTGAGGCCCCTCAAGTTGAGCTTGGGGGGCTCGCAGGCGGTCGCGCCGGGGGTTGCGGACCGGCTTTGCCTGCGCGGGTTTAAGAGGTTTTAGAGGCAGGCAAGGTATAGTAACTCATGCGTGGTGTACCGAAACAAGAGGCGTGCTCGTTACAGCCGCTGATGCTGCTGACGTGGCCAGTGATGCCCGGATGCACGGCTCGCCGCTGGGCTGGGACTTGCCGATTGTGCGTGCTTTAGCGAGACAGGCGAATGAAGGAGAAAGGCGGGAAAAGAGACGAGAGATTGTTTTGTTGTGTGTTTTTGTTGATGAGGAAGGGCGTCACGTCACGTGTTGCAATGTTGCCCCGTGACAGCACATGGTGTTACAATGTTGCCCCGTGACAGCACATGGTGTTACAATGTTGCCCCGTGACAGCACATGGTGTTACAATGTTGACCCGTGACAGCACATGGTGTTACAATGTGAACTTGTCCAGCACATGGCTGTACAATGTAGCCCCGTTACAGATGTGCTACGATAATGTAGACCGTTACAGCGTCTACTGTTACAATGTTGGCCCAATAACTCGTGAAGACTCACGTGGAGACCCGTTACAGCATGTGTCTGTAAAAGGAAGCGGGCTGGGAGGAGGAATATTGGCCCCAGTACAATGTAGCTGGCTGGGAGGAAGAATATCGCGGTTAATTACTCCTTGGGGGGGCGAACTGCACTGACCAACGTGATAATGTCACTGCTCGTTTTAATCACGCAATCATGCAACCAACTCTCGACATCCTCAGCCGCCCACTTGCCTTTTCAAACCCCCCAACCCCACACCCCATCCCCCCCAAACGGCCACGCCTGTCAGTGTGGTGACGTTTGATCTGAGGGGCGCAGGCAAGTCAACGGGGCATGCATCGTTCACAGGGGAGCCCGAGGTGGGGGATGTGATGGCCGTGTGCCGGTGGGCGGCGGACAAGTACAGCCAGAGAATACTGCTGGTGGGGTCCTCGGCAGGTGAGTGTGAGACGAAGCATTCGCCCAGGTGAGAGCCACCACAGGCATGCAAGTGAGTGGGGGGAGGGAGGTAGCAGATGTGATGGCAGGGGACACGCATGGTCAGAGAATACTGCTACTGGGGTCGTTGGCAGGTGATGGGGAAGACACGCATTCACTGCCTGCAAGTAGATCTCTACGTGGGCACCGGCTGCACCTCTGCCTTCCTCAGGCACCCAACAATCTACCCCCCATGTGTCCCCCTCACCCAATTCTTCTCCCCCCCCCTCCCCCCTCCCCCCCTCCCACCACACCCCCCCCTTCTCCGCCCTTGCAGGAGCGCCCATTGCTGGCTCTGCGCTGCCGCACTGCCCTCAAGTGGACCTGTACGTGGGCATCGGCTACACGTTCGGCATCTTCTCCTCGCTGCTCTTCGGCTCGCACTACGCCCCCGTGCTCGCGTGGGCGGGCCCCAAGCTGTTCATCATGGGCGCCAAGGACGAGTTCACCACCAAGAAGCAGCTGGAGGCGCGCGTGGCAAAGGCGCAGGGCGTGGCGACAACCGCCATTGTGGAGGGCGTGGGACACTTTGGGCTCGAGGGCCCGGCGTATGACCAGGAGGTGGCCAAGATTGTGGGGGAGTTCGTGGCTGAGCAGCCCCATGGCGGGGTTGGAGGAGGGCCTGCTGCTGGTGGAGCGGGGGCCGACGGTGAGAAGGATGCGGCCAAAGAGGGCAGCAGCTAGGTGTTCAGGGCGAGGGCACGGCGCATGACGTGGAAGAGCCAAAGATTGTTGGGAAGTTTGTTACCGAGCAGCCCCATGGCGGGGTTGGAGGGGGAGATTAGAAAAAGTAGCTAGAAACGGGATTAATGATTTCAGGTAGTGCTACGATGGCATTGGTTTTGGACACAAGCTTTTCATTAGGCTGCTCTTTGGGTACCATATAAGGTTAGGTAAATAGTTGTATTGTTCATGTGTTTACAACATCGTCATTTTAGTTGTGCAATTCAGTTGTGTTATAACCTATGGCACACTGTATTCGCAAATGTACCTGATTTCAGCGCGTATGAGAGCCGAATCCCGCCTTATCCTTTCTAGCTCTCTGTGGCACGCCAGATCCACGAGTCCCGTACCAGCAGCTCCCAGGTGTCGCGGGGCGTCCAAGCACGCGTTATCGCGAATCGCCAATTCTTGCTTTTCGTTTCCGCTCGTCGCAGGTCGTGCTTTAAACTGTTATTGGGAACTATTTTCTGTTATCCGGGACCGGATATAAGTCGCTAGCGATGCGCGGTAGGAGCGACAGCAGCGATTCGGACAGCGAGGAGCGCCGCGGGAGGAGGCGGGGACGCAAAGAGCGGAACGATAGCCCCGATTCTACCGATGGGGATTCCAACGGGAGTGACGAGGACGCGCGGAAGGTAGGCCGCGGAAGGGGGAAAGCGCGGGACGCGCGGGGCGTGCGGGGAGACGGGCGGAAGGATGAGCGGAAGGGCCGCGGAGAGGCGGAGAGTCCGCCGGAGGACGACGGGGAAAGGCGGGGAGGGGGGAGTGGAGTTGGGGTAGCGGGAATTGCGCGCGGCAGGGGGAGGCACGATTCCGACGATGAGAGCGAGGAGGAGAGGGGCGGTAGCCGTGACGATAAGGGGGGCGGAAGGGACGGCCAGAAGGGGTTAGAGGGGGAGAAGCCCAAGGAGGGTGAGCCGGGGGAAACGAAGAAGAGCTCAGGCGGGCCAAGGGGAGAGAGAGAGCGTGAGGTCGAGGAGGAGGAGGAGGAGGGTGGTGAGCGGTGGGAGATAGGGGGGGAGAGGGAGGGGGCGCGGGTTAGGCGGAAAGAAAAGCGTGGGGAGGATGGGAGGCGCGAGGGGCGCGAGGGGCGCGCGGGGAGTGAGGAACGGGAGGAGAGGGAGAAGGGTGAGAGGAGGAGGGAGAGTGAGAAAGGTAGGGGGGGGGGAGATAAAGAGAGGGCGAGGGAGGATCCGAGTGAGCGGGAGCGAGATGGAGGGAGGCACGGGGAGAGAGAGAGGGGAAGGGGAAGGGAGGGCGAGGGGAGGAGGGAGAGAGAGGAGGATAGCGGCAGGGACAGGCGAAGGGAGAGGGACAGGGACAGGGAGAGAGAGAGGGAGAGGGAGCGAGACAGCAGGAGGGGAAGGGGCAGGTCGGGGCGGCACAGGCGGGGAGATTCTGAGTCGGATGGGAGTGACAGCAGCAGTGAGCGGGAGAGGGATCGGGGGAGGGGGCGGGGAAGGGGGGACAGGCACGGGAGGCGTGAGGACGGAAGGCGAGAGAGAGGGAGGGGCGAGTGGGAGGGAGAGGAGAGGCGAGGCGAGGGCAGGGAGGGGCGAGGGGGACCTTCGCGTGCAGCCCACGCTGCTGCTGATGGTGCCACCGCCGCCACCACCACCGCTGCTGCCACTGCCAGCGGAGCAGCAGGCTCAGGGGCGAAAGCCCCCACAGCAGGTCCGGCAGCAGGTCCGGCATCAGGTTCGGCAGCAGCAGGAGCAGCAGGAAAAGAATTGGGGCGCACAGGGGGAGCATACATTCCGCCGTTCAAGCTGGCGCGCATGCTGAAAGAAGTGAGCGACAGGAGCAGCGCGGAGTACCAGCGCCTCACGTGGGACGCGCTGCGCAAGTCCATCAACGGGCTGGTCAACAAGGTCAACGCCAGCAACATCAAGAACATCATCCCCGAGCTCTTCGCCGAGAACCTCGTGCGCGGCCGCGGGCTGTTCTGCCGCGCGTGCATCAAGTCGCAGATGGCGAGTCCGACCTTCACGCACGTGTTTGCGGCGCTGGTGGCCGTGGTGAACACCAAGTTCCCCGAGCTGGGGGAACTGCTGCTCAAGAGGATCATTCTCCAGTTCAGGAGGGCGTTCCGCAGGAATGACAAGGTGAGCGGTGAGGAGCAAAGGTGGTTTCTCCCCCCTGGTGGCGGTGGTGATCCCCCCTGGTGGCGGTGGTGATCCCCCCTGGTGGCGGTGCTGATCCCCCCTGGTGGCGGTGCTGATCCCCCCTGGTGGCGGTGCTGATCCCCCCTGGTGGCGGTGGTGATCACCAAGTTCCCTGAATTGGGCGAGCTGCTGCTGACGTGGATCATCCTGCCGTTCAGGAGGGCGTTCCGGCGCAACGACAAGGTGAGCGGGGAGGGGGAAGATGCGGGAGAGGAAAGATGCGAAGAGGAGGCGAGGGGGGGGCGAGAAGAGAAGAGAGAAAGGAAGGGGAGCGGGAAGAAGAATAGGCGGGGGGGGGGCGGGAGAGGGGAATGACAGCAGAGGAGGTTTCTACTCCACTGTTCCCTGCATCACTCTCCCTTCTCTTGCAGCCCCTGCTGCTGGCCACCTGTGGCTTGCTAGCCCCCTGCTGCTCGCCACCTGTGGCTTGCTAGCCCCTGCTGCTCGCCACCTGTGGCTTGCTAGCCCCCTGCTGGTGGCCACCTGTGGCTTGCTAGCCCCCTGCTGCTGCCCACCTGTGGCTTGCTAGCCCCTGCTGCTCGCCACCTGTGGCTTGCTAGCCCCCTGCTGCTGGCCACCTGTGGCTTGCTAGCCCCCTGCTGCTGCCCACCTGTGGCTTGCTAGCCCCTGCTGCTCGCCACCTGTGGCTTGCTAGCCCCCTGCTGCTGGCCACCTGTGGCTTGCTAGCCCCCTGCTGCTGCCCACCTGTGGCTTGCTAGCCCCTGCTGCTGCCCACCTGTGGCTTGCTAGCCCCCTGGTGAACCAGCAGGTCGTTTTCGAGCTGACTCCGTTTCTTACCTCTTAAGTTCTCTCCTTCCTCCCCACTCCCCACCTCCCCCAGCTACAGCCTGTGCTGGTAGCCACGTGTCGTTCCTTGTTCCACCTGGTGAACCTGTAGGTGGCTGACGAGATAGTGGCTCTGGAGCTGCTTCCACGTCTTGCATCTTGGCGCATTTCCATCAGCTCCCCCACCCCCCCCACCCCCCCACCCCCCAACCCCCCCTCCCTTCTTTCCTAGTGCAGCCTGTGCTGCTGGCCGCCTGTCGCTTTCTAGCCCATCTGGTGAACCAGCAGGTGGCGCACGAGATAGTGGCGCTGGAGCTGCTCACGCTGTTGCTGGAGACTCCCACCGATGACAGCGTCGAGGTGAGAGCTGGGGGAGGTGAGATCTGGGTGATTGTGTCATGGGGGAGGTGGTATCTGCTGAGTTGCACAATAGCCTGAGCTGAGCCATGAGGTAGTGGCTCTGGAGCTGCTCATTCAACTGCTGGAGACGCCCACCGATGATAGCGTGGAGGTGAGAGCTGGGGGAGGTGGTATCTTGGGGGAGGTTGTAATTTGGGGCGGTCGTATCTGAGGTGGTGGTGATGGTGATGACATCACTGCTGACTTCATGCACATGCACCCAATCGTCCGTTCCTGCATGCATGCATACATCCATGCCCACCCACCAACCCAACCATTTACCCGCCCACGCATCCCACCCACCCGCCCACCCACTCACTCACCCACCCACCCACCCACCAGGTGGCAGTGAGCTTTGTCAAGGAGTGTGGAGCAGGGTTCCATATGTCAGACTTTTTTTGCCTGATTGTCTGAGTCTGGAAACTGCAACTCCTATTCTGAAGACACGTTATGTATGAAGTTTTACATAACTGTTTAGTTTGTGGAAGAAGTACATGGTCAAGTGTTCCGATTTCTTGTAAATCAGCCTGAAGCCGCAATTTTGGGTTTGCAAATCAGACAATCAGGCAAAAGAAGTCTGATAACGAGAACCCTGGTGTGGAGCTGTGCCGCAGGATCCACGACTCCCTCTGTCCCTCTGATCTCATCCTGCATGCATGTGCGTTCATCAATCCATGCACACCCGCCCACCAGGTGGCAGTGAGCTTCGTCAAGGAGTGTGGAGCCGTGCTGCAGGATCTCTCTCCCCAGGGCCTGCACAGTGAGTGCTAGGGCGATGAGCTTTTGCATGCTACAGCCTGCACAGTGAGTGCTAGGGTGGCGAGCTTTTGAATGCTACAGCATGCACAGTGAGCGCTAGGGTGGTGAGCTTTTGAATGCTACAGCCTGCACAGTGAGTGCTGTTGGGTTTGGTTATGTCTTTTTCTTATACTATTTTGTTGGCTATGCTACGTTTTGTTTTGCCTTTTCCGACTTTCTGCATGGTTGTATGACAGAGATTGATCTGTGAATTTATTTCCCCCTTTCGAGCTCTTCTGCGGCATTCTGCATGAGGGCGTTCAATCACCTTGCACCTTCCTTCCTCCCTTCCGTCTCTAAACCCCCAAAACCCTCGAAACCCTCAAAATCTCCAATACACTCAAAACCTCCAAAACTCTGCGAACCCCTCAAAACCCCATCACCCCACAGGCATATTCGAGCGCTTCCGCGGCATTCTGCACGAGGGCGAAATCGATAAGCGCGTGCAATTCACCATCGAGGGGCTCTTCGCCATCCGCAAGGCCAAGTTCGAGGTGCGGGGCTCTTTGGCATGAGTGTGGTGGATGGTGTGTGCGGGTGGGTGGTGTATGTGCGAGGATGCACAATGTGCACAGAGGGTGCACGTCAGGGTGGTTTGGGGTTGAGGGAAGTTCACCATCGAGAGGCTCTTTGCCATTTGCAAGGCTAGGTTCGAGGTGCGTGTGGTGTGGGGGGGTGGAGGGTGCATGCATGCTGTGTGGTTCCATGCATGCTGTGTGGTTCCATGCATGGCGTGTGGTTCCATGCATGGCGTGTGGTTCCATGCATGGCGTGTGGTTCCATGCATGCTGTGTGGTTCCATGCATGCTGTGTGGTTCCATGCATGCTGTGTGGTTCCATGCATGCTGTGTGGTTCCATGCATGCTGTGTGGTTCCATGCATGCTGTGTGGTTCCATGCATGGTTGCTACATGCACCGATGATGCACGCCACTGATGGGTGCCTGGCGGTTGAGTGCGGTTCACCACTGTGAGGGGCTCTTGGTATGAGTATGTGCGAATGGGATGGATGGTTCACGGGGTGTGCTGCAGGCACTGATCATGCGCGCATGGGTGGATGGTGTCATGCGCGCATGGGTGGATGGTGTCATGCGCGCATGGGTGGATGGTGTCATGGATCGAGTGCAGTTCCGACACCATCCACCATCCAACCATCCACCTCCTCGTCCCCCCCCTTCCTCGTCCCACCCCCTCCTCGTCCCCCCCCCTCCTCGTCCCCCCCCCTCCTCGTCCCCCCCCCTCGTGTCCCGCGAGGTGGATGGGGAGTAGGAGGACCAGATGGCCCACAAGCTGTGGCTGGAGGAGGCACCTCTGATGCCACTCTGCCCTGGATCCCCCCATGTTCGCTTCGCTTGCACTGCTTCCCTGCAGGGCTTCCCTGCACTGCTTCCCTGCACTGCACAGCTCCCCGACCTGGACCTGGTGGAGAAGAAGAGTTGAATCACACCCGGCCTCTCACTCGCCCCGCTTGCCTCATGCTCCCCTCTTCCCTCCCAACCCCACCTCTTCCCACCCCCCTCCCCCTCTTCCCAACCCCCCTCTTCCCACTCCCGCTCTTCCCAACCCCACTCTTCACTCCCCCCTGCTCCTCACACCTACCCTCTTGTCCCCCGTGCAGGGCTTCCCAGCGGTGCTGCCGGAGCTCGACCTAGTGGAGGAGGAGGATCAGATCACCCACGAGCTGTCGCTGGAGGAGCCCTACGACGCTGAAACGGCACTGGGTGAGCTTATAATGAGGATGGGTTGAGAGGGCAGGGTTTGTGTTGGACCTGTCTGATTCCTCATTGTCCTTTTTTTTTTTTGCTGTCATTGTTTCTCATCATTTGCGTCATTGTTTCTCATCATTTGCGTCATTGTTTCTCATCATTTGCGTCATTGTTTCTCATCATTTGCGTCATTGTTTCTCATCATTTGCGTCATTGTTTCTCATCATTTGCGTCATTGTTTCTCATCATTTGCGTCATTGTTTCTCATCATTTGCGTCATTGTTTCTCATCATTTGCGTCATTGTTTCTCATCATTTGCGTCATTGTTTCTCATCATTTGCGTCATTGTTTCTCATCATTTGCGTCCTGCCGCCCTATCTCGCGCCCTCCCCGCCCTTGCTTCCTCACGCTAGACATGGGCATGAGCCTCGGCTCGGGTCAGTGCTCATGTCTACCTCACGCCCTCCACCACACCCTTGCGCCCTCACTCCGTCCCCACCCCCTTCCTGTCACCCTCCCCTCCATTTTAGCGAGACTATTTGGTCAAGGAGCAGCAGTACGAGGAGATTAATGCCTGATTCACTTGCTCGAAGCATTGCTTTCCAGATTCCCTTCCCCTTCCCCCTCCCTCCCCCTTCTCGCCTCCTTTCCTCCCTGTCCTCGCACCCCTCTGCCCCACCTATGTTGGAAAAAGTGTGTTTCACGTTTAGTATGGTTGTGTATATATGCAAAACGCTACAGAGGAGGGGGTCGGGTCAGGTACGCACAGAACTCGCTGAATTGGGCAGGTTAAAAACTATTTCCGGGCAGGGATTAGGAAGTTACAGGGTGGAGGGGGGTGGTCAGCGGTTGGGAGGGGGGATTGGTGCACTTCGAGTTCAAAATTCAAGCTCGGAGTTGAGTTCGCCATGTGCGAACCCCAATTTTGAGATCGCGCAGTCGCGAATGTGTTTGGGTTGTTTTTTTCCAGTCAGCCCGCGTTGTTTTTGGCGTTTGCACACCAATAACGCAGCGTACGTATTTTTGGTGTGTTTAAGCGCAATACGCAATCACAATTGTGTGTTTTTTCCAACATAGTGCCCCGCGCCTTCCTCCCCTTCCCACCTGCTGTTACTAGACGTATTTAACTAGCAGTGCTACAAGGAGATCAAAGCGGAGATCCTGATCCTCCTCCCCCCTCATTCTCATCCTTCTTCTCCATTCTTCCCCTCCCCCTTGCACTGCCGCTACCTCTCTCCCAAACAGACATGTTTAAGGTGGACCCTGACCATCTTCCCAATGAGCAGCGCTACAAGGAGTCCAAACCCTGATGCACTCCCCCTTCTTTCCCTTTCCCCCCACCCCTCGTTCCTGCCTCTTCCCCCTGTGTGCCCCCCCCCCCAAACCCCCCCCCCCCCACTCCCCCTCCCCTCCAGACGTGTTTAAGGTGGACCCCGACTATCTGGCCAACGAGCAGCGCTACAAGGAGATCAAAGCCGAGATCCTGGGAGACGAGGAGGAGTCAGAGGGGGAGAAGGGAGAGGGAGGGGGCGATGAGGACGATGAGGAGGAGGAGGAGGAGGAGAGCAGTGAGGAGGAGGACGAGGAGGAGCGTGCGGCGCAGCAGGAGATCCAGGACCAGACGGAGACGAACCTGGTGAACCTGCGGCGCACCATCTACCTCACCATCATGGCGTCCGTCAACTTCGAGGAGGCGGGGCACAAGCTGATGAAAGTCAACCTCCAGCCGGGCCAGGAGGTAAGGGTTGGGGAGGGCGAGATTCAGACATGCGGTAAGCGTTGGGGAGGGCGAGATTTAGACACGAGGTAAGCGTTGGGGAGGGCGAGATTTAGACACGAGGTAAGGGTTGGGGAGGGCGAGATTCAGACACGAGGTAAGGCCTGCAGGGAGTGAGGCTTGACCGCCTGCCGCACCATCGTGGCGTCTGTCAACTTTGAGGGGGGGGGCACATGCTGATGACGGCCAACCTGCAGCCGGGCCAGGAGGTAATTGGTGGTAGTGGCTGGTGGTAGTGGCTGGTGGTAGTGGCTGGTGGTAGTGGCTGGTGGTAGTGGCTGGTGGTAGTGGCTGGTGGTAGTGGCTGGTGGTAGTGGCTGGTGGTAGTGGCTGGTGTGAGTGGCTGGTGGTAGTGGCTGGTGGTAGTGGCTGGTGGTAGTGGCTGGTGTGAGTGGCTGGTGGTAGTGGCTGGTGGTAGTGGCTGGTGGTAGTGGCTGGTGTGAGTGGCTGGTGGTAGTGGCTGGTGGTAGTGGCTGGTGGTAGTGGCTGGTGGTAGTGGCTGGTGGTAGTGGTGGGTGCGATTGCAGCGGGTGACCATCTGTCCCAATCGCTCACTCCCCTGTGAGGAGGTGGGGCACAAGCTGATGGAGGTCAACCTACAGTTCTGCAGGCAGTGCCAGGAGGTAAGGGGCATGATGGGCCGAGTACAGACCATTACAGTTATAAGATAAACATGATGGGACTAGAATTTTTTTGGTGATTGATGGTACTGACGTTGGGGCGTGTAGAATGGGTGGAGCTGGTCTGCATCGTCTACTAGCCCATGGATTGCCGTTTGCGGGTTTCATGGGACAGCGCGGGAGGTGCGAGTGAAGTTGTAAGGGTGCGAGTGAAGTTGTAAGGGTGCGAGTGAAGTTGGAAGGAAGTGTATATAGTGTATATAGGCTACAGCACTTTTGATAAACGTACAGTGATGGGCGAGCTGGGGGCAGGGAGCAGTTAGCCAGCTGGGAGGGCAGCAGGGTGGGACGTGACACGTACGTAGGCGAGAAGGGGGAGCGGTTCGCACAGCGACATGCGGCGAATGAGGGAGGAGAGTCGATGGCAGAAATTACGGGGCCATCACGGGATTTAAAAAATAAGAAACGGCGCACGGCGGAAGTGACTGGGAGGGTTGGGTTTGGCTCAGGAGTGCGACTGCTAGGAGGAGTGCGACTGCTAGGAGGAGTGCGACTGCTAGGAGGAGTGCGACTGCTAGGAGGAGTGCGACTGCTAGGAGGAGTGCGACTGCTAGGAGGAGTGCGACTGCTAGGAGGAGTGCGACTGCTAGGAGGAGTGCGACTGCTAGGAGGAGTGCGACTGCTAGGAGGAGTGCGACTGCTAGGAGGAGTGCGACTGCTAGGAGGAGTGCGACTGCTAGGAGGAGTGCGACTGCTAGGAGGAGTGCGACTGCTAGGAGGAGTGCGACTGCTAGGAGGAGTGCGACTGCTAGGAGGAGTGCGACTGCTAGGAGGAGTGCGACTGCTAGGAGGAGTGCGACTGCTAGGAGGAGTGCGACTGCTAGGAGGAGTGCGACTGCTAGGAGGAGTGCGACTGCTAGGAGGAGTGCGACTGCTAGGAGGAGTGCGACTGCTAGGAGGAGTGCGACTGCTAGGAGGAGTGCGACTGCTAGGAGGAGTGCGACTGCTAGGAGGAGTGCGACTGCTAGGAGGAGTGCGACTGCTAGGAGGAGTGCGACTGCTAGGAGGAGTGCGACTGCTAGGGAGGAAGGAGTGCGACTGCTAGGAGGAGTGCGACTGCTAGGAGGAGTGCGACTGCTAGGAGGAGTGCGACTGCTAGGAGGAGTGCGACTGCTAGGAGGAGTGCGACTGCTAGGAGGAGTGCGACTGCTAGGAGGAGTGCGACTGCTAGGAGGAGTAGGACTGCTAGGAGGAGTAGGACTGCTAGGAGGAGTAGGACTGCTAGGAGGAGTAGGACTGCTAGGAGGAGTGCGACTGCTAGGAGGAGTGCGACTGCTAGGAGGAGTGCGACTGCTAGGAGGAGTGCGACTGCTAGGAGGAGTGCGACTGCTAGGAGGAGTGCGACTGCTAGGAGGAGTGCGACTGCTAGGAGGAGTGCGACTGCTAGGAGGAGTGCGACTGCTAGGAGGAGTGCGACTGCTAGGAGGAGTGCGACTGCTAGGAGGAGTGCGACTGCTAGGAGGAGTGCGACTGCTAGGAGGAGTGCGACTGCTAGGAGGAGTGCGACTGCTAGGAGGAGTGCGACTGCTAGGAGGAGTGCGACTGCTAGGAGGAGTGCGACTGCTAGGAGGAGTGCGACTGCTAGGAGGAGTGCGACTGCTAGGAGGAGTGCGACTGCTAGGAGGAGTGCGACTGCTAGGAGGAGTGCGACTGCTAGGAGGAGTGCGACTGCTAGGAGGAGTGCGACTGCTAGGAGGAGTGCGACTGCTAGGAGGAGTGCGACTGCTAGGAGGAGTGGGACTGCTAGGAGGAGTGGGACTGCTAGGAGGAGTAGGACTGCTAGGAGGAGTAGGACTGCTAGGAGGAGTAGGACTGCTAGGAGGAGTAGGACTGCTAGGAGGAGTGCGACTGCTAGGAGGAGTAGGACTGCTAGGAGGAGTAGGACTGCTAGGAGGAGTAGGACTGCTAGGAGGAGTAGGACTGCTAGGAGGAGTAGGACTGCTAGGAGGAGTAGGACTGCTAGGAGGAGTAGGACTGCTAGGAGGAGTAGGACTGCTAGGAGGAGTAGGACTGCTAGGAGGAGTAGGACTGCTAGGAGGAGTAGGACTGCTAGGAGGAGTAGGACTGCTAGGAGGAGTAGGACTGCTAGGAGGAGTAGGACTGCTAGGAGGAGTAGGACTGCTAGGAGGAGTAGGACTGCTAGGAGGAGTAGGACTGCTAGGAGGAGTAGGACTGCTAGGAGAGTAGGACTGCTAGGAGGAGTAGGACTGCTAGGAGGAGTAGGACTGCTAGGAGGAGTAAGGACTGCTAGGAGGAGTAGGACTGCTAGGAGGAGTAGGACTGCTAGGAGGAGTAGGACTGCTAGGAGGAGTAGGACTGCTAGGAGGAGTAGGACTGCTAGGAGGAGTAGGACTGCTAGGAGGAGTAGGACTGCTAGGAGGAGTAGGACTGCTAGGAGGAGTAGGACTGCTAGGAGGAGTAGGACTGCTAGGAGGAGTAGGACTGCTAGGAGGAGTAGGACTGCTAGGAGGAGTAGGACTGCTAGGAGGAGTAGGACTGCTAGGAGGAGTAGGACTGCTAGGAGGAGTAGGACTGCTAGGAGGAGTAGGACTGCTAGGAGAGTAGGACTGCTAGGAGGAGTAGGACTGCTAGGAGGAGTAGGACTGCTAGGAGGAGTAGGATGCTAGGAGGAGTAGGACTGCTAGGAGGAGTAGGACTGCTAGGAGGAGTAGGACTGCTAGGAGGAGGAGTAGGACTGCTAGGAGGAGTAGGACTGCTAGGAGGAGTAGGACTGCTAGGAGGAGTAGGACTGCTAGGAGGAGTAGGACTGCTAGGAGGAGTAGGACTGCTAGGAGGAGTAGGACTGCTAGGAGGAGTAGGACTGCTAGGAGGAGTAGGACTGCTAGGAGGAGTAGGACTGCTAGGAGGAGTAGGACTGCTAGGAGGAGTAGGACTGCTAGGAGGAGTAGGACTGCTAGGAGGAGTAGGACTGCTAGGAGGAGTAGGACTGCTAGGAGGAGTAGCACAAAACCAGCTAGTGGGGGTGGTTGTTGCTACTCTGTTTGTTCTCTCGGTACCATGGGAAAGCTTGTATGCTCTCTTACTTGTGGAATCACTCTTGAGCAATGCTAGATCCATGCAGGGAGGCCAGACAGAGGTGTAGTGAAGAGTGTCAGGGTGCGGGATTTAATCTCGGGCATTTTCTTTGAGATCGGGAAGTCGGAGTTAATTACATAAAAGCGCAGGCAGGGCGAAGAAGCTAAGGATCCAGGGTAGGCATTGCTGAGAAGAGCGGCTGGGAGGAGAGGAGGCTACGCGACACTATTCCACGTGCCTCTGTATCTGTGTGATAAATCCCCAACTTCACGTCTAGTCCATCCACATTAGTATTTGACCTGTAAGGGCCTCTAATTCCCCCATGCAGTTCCACCCCAAAGGCAGACTAGGTGAGGAAGGGTCGAGCAGGGTGCGGGCTGGTGAGGAATGTGGCGTGAGGAAGCCGAGTGGTGCTGGCAGGTTTGCGAATTAGCTTGCTGGTCCCAGGGCAAGCAGTCGCTTATTATGCCTCTCCCCCCGCACCCCTCGCCCAGTGGGAGCCCACCTGTCCTCTTCCATCCCTCCTCAGGTGGAGCTCTGCCAAGTGCTGCTCGTCTCATGCAAGTCTCTTTCTCTCATTGTCTCCCCGGACAACCCCCCCCCTCCCTCCTCTCCTCCTCCCCCTCCCTCCTCCTCCCCCATTCTCCTCCTCTCCTCTCCTCTACTTTCCCCCTCCTCCCCCTCCCTCCTCCCCCCCTCCCTCCTCCTCCAGATGGAGCCGTGTGCAATGCTCCAGATGCTGCTCAGTCTTTACCCTCATTGTCTCCTCCCTCTCCTCCTCTCCTCCTCTCCTCCTCTCCTCCTCTCCTCCTCTCCTCCTCTCCTCCTCTCCTCCTCTCCTCCTCTCCTCCTCTCCTCCTCTCCTCCTCTCCTCCTCTCCTCCTCTCCTCCTCTCCTCCTCTCCTCCTCTCCTCCTCTCCTCCTCTCCTCCTCTCCTCCTCTCCTCCTCTCCTCCTCTCCTCCTCTCCTCCTCTCCTCCTCTCCTCCTCTCCTCCTCTCCTCCTCTCCTCCTCTCCTCCTCTCCTCCTCTCCTCCTCTCCTCCTCTCCTCCTCTCCTCCTCTCCTCCTCTCCTCCTCTCCTCCTCTCCTCCTCTCCTCCCTCTCCTCTCCTCTCTCCTCCTCTCCTCCTCTCCTCCTCTCCTCCTCTCCTCCTCTCCTCCTTTCCTCCTCTCCTCCTCTCCTCCTTCCTCTCTCCTCCTCCTCCTCCTCTGCCTCCTCTCCTCCTCTCCTCCTCTCCTCCTCTCCTCCTCTCCTCCTCTCCTCCTCTCCTCCTCTCCTCCTCTCCTCCTCTCCTCTCCTCCTCTCATCTCCTCCTCCCCATCTCCCCCGCCCCCAATGTCTAGATGGAGTTGTGTGAGATGCTGCTGGCGTGCTGCTCCCAGGAGCGCACCTACCTGCGCTACTACGGGCTGCTGGGTCAGCGATTCTGGTGGGTGACACTGTAGCTATGGTGCCCTGTTTGAGCGTTACTGTTACAATAGTGCATGTGGCAGAGGGATTGGTCGCACCTACCTGCGCTACCACCGGCTGCCTGGGCAGCGATTCTGGTGGGTGATAAATGCATGTGATACTGGTGGGGGTTGTTCTATTTTATGCTATAGCGGGGGTTGATTGTGCCTACCTTCACTAGTGCGAGCTGCTGGTCAGCGATTCTGGTGGGTGTTCCTGATCCCATAGTGCATGTGATACTGGTGGTTGTGACAATGGTGGGTGATTGTAAGTGGTGTCATGTTTGTGGATGTGATCTCACACGTGTGTGCTTTTACTGAATGTCGTGCCATGCCTACAGCTTTATGTGTTTCACATCAAATTCTGCTTACCCAGTCGCAAGAAACTGTGCTAAAAGGATGGCCTGACTAGTGGTTGTGAGGTTACTCTAATGGCCGTATTTTGGTTACTTCACGCCTCTTCCACTAGCTCATGTCTCTCCTCTCTCCTCTTTCCTCGTATCACTTACCTAGTTTTTCTCTCCTCACATTTCTGCCCTTCCCGTCCCCCCTCCTCCACTCCCCTCCACAGCATGTTGAACCGCGCCTACCAGGAGCGTTTCGAGCAGTGCTTTGTGAGGCAGCGCATCATGATCCACCGCCTCCTGTCGTGCTTCCTCTTGTGTTCTCTCTTTCCCCCCTCCTCGCCATGTCTTGCTCTTGCAGCATGCTGAATCGCACCTACCAGGAGCGTTTTCAGCAGTGCTTCGTGAGGAGTCTGTTTTTGAGGCGCCTCAAAAATAGACTCCTCACGCAGTGCTTCGTGAAGCAGTGCAGCATGATTGAGGCGCATCAAACCTTGTTGGTCTCTTTGCCCCCCCGCAACCCCCTCCTCCCTCCTCAGCATGCTCAATCGTGCCTACCAAGAGTGCTTCGAGCAGTGCTTCGTGAAGCAGTACAGCATGATCCACCGCCTCGAGACCAACAAGCTGCGCAACGTGGCCAAGCTCTTTGCGCACTTTCTCGCCACGGACGCCATGCCGTGGGCGCTGCTGTCGTACATCAGACTTACAGAGGAGGACACATCCTCATCGTCTCGCATCTTCATCAAGATCATGTTCCAGGTGAGATCATGTTCCAGGTGAGATCATGTTCCAGGTGAGATCATGTTCCAGGTGGGCTTCCGGCAGCTAGGGCCCTTGGCCCTTAGCCCAGGTGAGATGGTTGTTGTAGGAAGGCACGTGCCTCTGGCGACACTCACTTCATCAAGATCATGTTGCCAGAGGCACGTGCCTTCCTACAACAACCATCTTGCCCATGTTGCCCATCAAGGCACGTGCCTCTTGCGTCTTCATCAAGATCATGTTCCAGGTAGGACTTGTGTCTGCTTGGGCCTTGTGCTCAGGTGTCCCTTGTGTTTAAGGTGGGTCTTGTGCTCAGGTGGGCCTTGTGTTTAAGGTGGGTCTTGTGCTCAGGCGGGCCTTGTGTTTCAGGTGGGCCTTGTGTTTAAGGTGGGCCATGTGCTCAGGTGGGCCTTGTGTTTAAGGTGGGCCTTGTGTTTAAGGTGGGCCTTGTGTTTAAGGTGGGCCTTGTGCTTAGGTGGGCCTTGTGTTTAAAGTGGGCCTTGTGTTTCAGGTGGGCCTTGTGCTCAGGTGGGCTTTGTGCTCAGGTGGGCCTTGTGCTCAGGTGGGCCTTGTGCTCAGGTGGGCCTTGTGCTCAGGTGGGCCTTGTGCTCAGGTGGGCCTTGTGCTCAGGTGGGCCTTGTGCTCAGATGGGCCTTGTGTTCCAGGTGAGGTGGTGTGTCAGAAGCTGTACCTCGCATGCGCTATTGCGTCATACACGCACCCTCCTCCTCACCCCTTCTCTCCCGCTCTCCTCTGTTTCCACCCCGTTTTCCTCGAATCTGCGCCAAGCCACTTTGTGCTGCGAGATCAGGAACTCTTGGAGTAGCTGGGCATGCACAATATGATTAAAAGGCTCAGCATTCAATCCTGAAGCCGCTTTTTTTTTTGCCTCCCCTCCCCTGTCCTCCCCCTTCTTCCCCTTCCCCCCTTCCTCTCTCCGCTTCGCTGTTGAGTATATGTTGGACCAGCTAGGCCTTTTGAGGTCGCATGAGAGGCTCAGTGGCCTAACCATGCACAACAACCCCGTTGATGTTTCTCCCTCCTACCCTGCCCCCTTCCCCCTTTTCTCTCCCCCCCATTTCCCCCCCCTTCTCTCCCCCCTCCCCAGTGAGTAGGAGATGTCAGAGCAGCTGGGCCTTCGCACGATGAACAAGAGGCTGAGTGATCCGACCATGGGGCACGCATTCATATGCGTCCTCCTCCCCCCCCTTACCCCCTACCCACTCAGCGACCCAACCACGCACCATCGCCCCTTCATGTACCCTCCCGCCATCCCTCCCTCCTCCACCCAGTCCGCTTTCCTCCTCCTCGGGCCCCGCCCCTCGCTTCCTTTGTTGTGAGCTGGTGATGTCGGAGCAGCACAGCCTTGGCGACATGAAGGGCCATGGGGCCTGCCTCAATTTGCATCCTCCTCTCCCGCTTATCCCCTACCCCCCCGCACCCCCCATGCCATCCACTTTGATGTTCTCTCCCTGTGCGCAGGAGATGTCGGAGCAGCTGGGGCTGCGCAAGATGAATGAGAGGCTCAGCGACCCGACCATGGGAGCTGCATTCGATGGGATATTCCCGAAAGATACACCCAAGAACACGCGCTTCGCTATAAACTTCTTCACTTCTATCGGTCTGGGAGGGCTGACGGACAACCTGAGGGAACACCTGAAGAACATGCCAAAGCTGATCATGCAGCAGCAGAAGCCTGTCCAGGTGTCTGAGAGCGAGAGCGAGAGCGAGAGTGAGAGTGATAGTGACAGTGAGAGTGAGAGCGGGAGTGATAGTGGATCGGACAGTGGGAGCGACAGCGAGAGCGAGAGCAGCGACAGCGAGAGCAGTGAGAGCGAGGACAGCCGAGACAGGAAAAGGAGGCGGAAGAAGTGAGCTTTGAGGTGCTTCTGGCTGGAGCCTATGAAACGTGGTGTGTGGATGAGTAGTATGGTACTCTGGCCGGTTGAAACTTGAAAGGTGCTAGTCATTTAATTGCTGGCTTGATATAATGATGGCTTCTACTTTCACATTATCAAGCTTGTGTTGCTTGAATTGTACTCTTCACATGTATTTGTTGATATTTTACGTTACGTAGTACCGGTACGTAACTCTTCGTATGGTCTTGAGGTTTGAAGTTTTGACCCGCTCTGTGATTGGTTGCGAAGGATTTTCTCTTCCTTCGTTAGGGACTTTCTCCGCTATAACAAGTCAGTGGGCGACGGCGCAGGCACACCCAACTTAGAGGCTCGGCAATTCCGTGCCTACTACAGTTATACGTAGTTTACAAGTGGTGTAGCGAGGACACCTAAGCGCGCCGGCTGGCAAGTTGTAGGAACGCACCACTGGTGCTGCTCGCTATCGAATTCTGCCCTCTTCTCTATCTGCGCGCTCTTTCACTCAGCTCGCTCTCTCGCGTACGTCACGCCCTCAAGCTTCTCTCCCCGCATGTTCGATCGGCGACTGAACACCAAGTCGCGTTGCGTCTGAACTTAGAAGTCACCGCGTAGCGGTTTTTCTTACATGTTAGTGCTCAATTGCGAGGCGGCTCGGAACAGGACGGAGCAATCTACGGTAGAATAGCGCGGCACGAATCTTGCCGCGCGAATTTCGCTGTTTTCGTTATCGGGCAGCTACTAGCGTCTGGTGAGTCGCGTAGCTTTCAGTGAGCGACCCATGCGGGTGCGAGTCGGCTGAAATGGTCGGATATATACACTGTACCCGTGTATATACACTGTATAGGGTTTCCTTGGCACGGATGCACTGTTCCACCTCGCACCGTCTGGCTTCGTATCGTCTAGGGCTGGGACGTCTGGCTTAGTACCCTACTGGGCTCGTTCAGCAGGCGTGAAGCTCTTTAGGGTTGCATGTCACGTGAGTGAAGCATAGCGTTCTCTCGTTATCCCCCCCCCCACCCACCCCTCTCTTTTCTCCCCTCCTCCCCCTACCAATCCCTACCCTCCTATTTCGCACCTTCCCTTCAGGCTTAAGAGTAATTCTGTCCCAGACCAGTCTTAAAAAGCAAGAAATTTAGGAGGGGCAATCACCTATCCAGAACCGATGGACCAATCACAGTCGCCAGTGTCCTTGCAGCAGCATGTAAGGACAGCCTCCGCCGCCCACCAAATGGCCGCCCAGCAGTCGCTACCTCCACAATCCGCCGCCCAGCAGCCCCTTCCGCCTCAGTCTGCTGCCCAGCAACCACTGCCGACCCATTCTGCCGCCCAGCCGCTCTTTGATCCGCGAGTTTGGCCGGGTTTCGAGCGATTCAACCAGGTGGGGAGGAATGGGGTGGGGTGTGGTGGGTTGGACTGGATTGGGGTGGGGGGAGGTGGGTGTAGGTGTAGGAATAGGGAAGGTGGGGAGGGGTGGACTTTGAACACGTGGGTATGGTCCAAGGATTATGGCCTGGCTTCGAGCGGTTTGTCACGTGGTTATGACGAGCGTTTATGCTTCTCCGTCTCGCCCTTCACAGCACGTGCACTCCATCCTTGGACTGCGATTGAAGCGGATTGCGTATTCTCACGATACCCCATCCAACACTAACCCACCAGGTGCAAGGCATTCTGGACCAGAACCGGCTGCTGATCCACGAGATCAAGGCGAACCACGAGGCGAGACTACCCGATGGGCTCATGCGCAACGTGACCCTCATTCGCCAGCTCAACTCCAATGTCACCAAGGTGGGGATGTGTAACCCTAGCCAGTGTGGTTGTCTTTCACCATTCGACGATACTTGTTGGGCTCACTTGCGTCGTAACCCTCACACAGTCACCAAGGTGGAGCCGCTACAACTTACGATGACACTTTCTGTGAGGCCCGTCCCTCTACGAGACGAGAAGACCAGAATGCGATTGGTAAACTGCAGTGTTATGAGTCCACCGCTCAAGTCCAGCCAGAGTACAATAATCAGATACTGAGTTCTCCATTGTGAATTGAGCCCCTTGGCAACCCGACTGCACCGGAGCAACATTAGGATGACGTATCTCTCCTCTTCTCTCCCCCTCCCATCGCCTCCAGGTAGTGGACCTGTATGCGGAAATCTCCCAAACGTTCGTTAGGTCCTTCGGCAACCCTAATTTTCCCCGCCCCTCAGCCAGCGGTGCTGTGCCTGAAGCTGCTGCTGGGGGGGCAGAAGGTGCCGACATCGACGGCTAGATGTGGAAGAAGTCTGCAAGCTGTGCGTGGAGTGTGGTGTGGAGCTCCCTCCGACATCCGTCGGGTCCTTGGGAAACCCTAACACAGCCCGCCCCTCAGCCGCCACTGCTGGGCCGGATGCTACTGCTGGGGGGCTGCAGGCGCCGACAGTGACGTGTAGTCTGGTAAAGGAAAACAGTAAGCGGAGCTCCCTTGGGCGTTTGTCATGTGCTTTACCAGCAGCCCCTCAGCTGCTGCTGGGGCTGATGCTGCTGCTGGAGGGGCTGCAGGTGCTGGCAGGGACAGGTAGACTTGAAAGGGAGATCTGAGGGGCGGGGGGGACAGTAGAGGGAGGGGAGGAGGGAGAAAGCAAAGGGCTAATGGGGTCGGTGTCAGTGCCTGATGCTGCCGGAGGAGCTGCAGGTGCCTGTAGTAGCAAATGCTGGACTTCTAACGGAGATTTGTCGCCGGGGTCTCCTCAGCCGCCCCTCGCCTGCTGCTGCCATGCCGGATGCTGCTATTGGAGGGCCTACATCAGTGATGGGTGCGTTGGTAAGGTAGACTTCGCTGTGCCTGCTGCTGCTGGAGGAGCTGCAGGTGCAGGGTGAGGTGCCGACAGTGACGGCTGGGTTCATGAGGGGTTCTGTGCGCCCCAATCCCCCGGAGATTCTTCAGATCCTTTGCCAGGCTGGCGCTCTATTGCTGCTGCAGCTGCTGTAGCAGGAGGGGCCGCAGGTGGGGGTGAAGGTGGCGACAGTGACGGCTAGGAGGGGCTGTATGCGGAATGCTGTTAGACATGCCTCGAATTCTTTTGAATCCCACGATGCAGCCGGCCCCTCTGTTGGTGCAGCTGCTGCTGTGCTGTGAGTGATGCTGCTGCAGGAGGGAGAGGGGGGTGGAGGTGCAAGGAGTGATGGCTAGATTGGTAAGGGGAATCTGTGTGCCGGTATTTCTCCGGGATGTTCACATCACATCTTTAGCCGGCCTGCCCTGCTTCTGCTGCTGCTGCTGTGCGCGCTGCTTCTGAAGGGGCTGCTGCAGGTGGGGTGGATGGTTGTGCCGACAGTGACGGTGACATGGCAGATGGCACGATTGGATGAAATAGCTGGGCTGGACAAGCTTGGCACTGCTGGAAAAGACACGAATAGGGCACAGCTGCTGGACACTGAAGCATGGGCCAGTAAGGAGACAGCCACACTTGGAAGGCATCCTTGTTTGTGTGAGCTGGATTCAAAAAATTATGGGAGGGTGGTTAAAGATGTGTAATCGTCGGTCAACACAAGCATAAAGCTAATTTTCATGCAATTATGGTAGCTAGTATAGGACACTGCTAATTGTGCACTAGTTATGCTAATTTCGCAGGTTCTTAGGTTTATAATTTTATATTTCACTATCGATCTGAATTGATTGTCGCAGTGCACCTATCAAAATGCGGGATTATTCCGAGATTTTGGCTAGACGGTGTCAAAACCCCGTCTGAACCCTCTCCCCGCAACACCTGAACGCTTTTCGCAACAGGCTACAGTCAAACCCCGCCATTGCTCAAAGGGCATCTAGTCGTGCCGCCCAATCTCCGGCACGCAATCCGTCCTGTTCGTCCTCCATCAGCCTGTCGTGCGGTGACACGTAGCGTTGACTATCCTTCCTGTTCGTCATACACCGTTAGCAGCATTGGCCCGCCATGGTGTGGTTTCAGTGCGAGGACTGCGGCGAGACGCTCAAGAAGCCGAAGCTCAATGCGCACTTCGGCCGATGCTCCGCTTACAAGGTGGGCGAAGCTCCTTATAAGGCGTACATTGCGTCGGTGCCAATGCAGCCCAACCCTTCCAGTCACCCGCTTTTTCGTTCTCCTTTCTTCCGTCTCACATGCTCATGACCGCCCCTTTCCCACCCGTCTCTCTCTCCATCTTCCGCCGTTCCTTCCCCACGCCCGCCCCCGCCAACTCTTCCTCCCCCCCATTCTCCTTCTCCCCTTCCCCCCTTTCCCCCCGTTATCAGCTGGCGTGCATCGACTGCGGCGTGACGTTCGACCAGCGCTCAGTACAGTCACACACGACATGCATGACCGAAATGGTACGGTAAACCTCTCGCTATAATCACATGCCGCATGTTTGATTGAAATAGATCAGTAAGCATCTCAATACCGTCATCGTGCAGCATGAACGATCGCATTCTCCCCCCACCCCCCCACTCTTCCACTTCAAATGACCCGCGCAGTCGAGACACGCCCAGGGGTTTACTGCTGCACTCGACAGCAGTACATTCACCCAACCTCGATACCCCGATGTGCTAAACCCTGCACTATCAGGAACCCCCTCCCCCCCCCCCCCCTCCCCCCACCCCTTTCCCCCTCCCTCTCGCTCCTCCCCTTCGCCGTTCCCCGTCGCAACGCCTGAACCCCCCACACACACTCTACTCCCCACCCCACCCTTCCTTTCTTACTGCCCAGAGAAGTTCCGCCCCATAAGCCCCGGCGCAGCAATCCCGCATCCCCCTCCCCTTCGCCCTCCCCCCGCTCCGACCCACCTCATCAGGTCGGCCCCATGAGCCCCACGCTGCATTCCCCACTGCAGGGGGAAGGGCACTTCGCCCACTGCAGGGGGAAGGGCGCTTCACCAAATGCAGGGGGAAGGGCATTTTCTCCCCCCCTGCCCAACCTCACCCCTTTCTCCACCCCATCCCTTCCTGTTGACAGGAAAAGGTTGGCCCTTAGGGGCCCAGCCCAGCCCACCCCAGCGCAGGCAATTCTCACGAGGGGGAAGGGCCGTCAGGGCAAGTCCACCCCCCTTACCGTCTCTCCCTCCCCCCTTTCTATGTCCTCCACACGCCCCCCCAACCCCCACACACCCCCTCTCCGTTTCACAGGAGAAGTTTGGCCCCAAGGGTCCAAATGCAGCAAACACTAATGCGGGGGGAAGACCGCCGGCAGGGGGGAAGGGGAAGGGCGGAGGGGCAGCAGCGGAGGGCGATGATGGGTTCGACTACCACATGGGGCTCTCCTCCCGGCCGCCCTGGTCCTGCAGGTATGGTGCTCTCTAGACGCCTTTACCCTGCAGGTAGGGTGCTTCTCTAGTGCATGGGGAGGGGAGCAGGAGGAGGGGCAGCGACTGGACGGGGGTGATGGGTTTGTCCACCACGTGGGGCTCTCCTCCCGCCCGCCCTGGTCCTGCAGGTATGGCGAGCGAGGGCACTGGGTGGTGCTTGCTAAGGGCGAAACGAACAGGAAGTCAGCGCGTTTACTCCATCTTTCTCCCCTTTCTCCCAGCCTATGCAAGGTGAATGCCACGAGCAAGGAAACTCTTGAGAGCCACTCGGAAGGGAAAAAGCACCGCAGCAAAGTGAGAGGAGCTACGAGGGCTGCACAGGAAGCTTCCAAGGGAGGAGAGGATGCTTCCAGGGCTTCTGAAGAGGCTAGCAAGGGTGCAGCGGTAGGCAGTGCGGTGCCGAGCGGTGCTGATGGTGATCACAATGGGAAAGCGAATGGGGCTCCAGCTGCAGCAGCCAATGGGACAGCGACAGGTGGACATGAGAACGGAGCAAAGGAGGAGGAAATGAGTGGTGAGGCGGAGGAGGGGGTGGGAGGAGCAGAGGTGCAGGGAGAGGGGGAGGGGAAGAAGAGGAAGAAGAAGGGAGAGAGGGGATCCAAGAGGAAGAAGACGAGAGAAGGAGCAGATGAAGAGGGGACTTCTGGGAAGGAGGAGGAGGAGGAAGCAGTAGAGGCGAAGAGCAAGGCGAAGAAGAAGCAAGGAACAGCCGAGGCGGATGCAGGGGCTTCTGAAGGGGCGGCCGTGATTCCGTGGAAGAAGCTCATCCGGCAGCAGCTGAAAGCGGTGAGTGGAACACACTCTGACCTGCTGCAGAAGGGTGCAAATGTGCAACGGTTCCTCCTGTGATTCCGTAGACGAAGCCCATCCCACAGCAACTGAATCCGGTGAGTGGGATGAAGTCAGCTGCTAATGCGTTGTACACTGTTCAAAGTTCTCCATGCGTCAAGACCTTGAGGTGCATACCATGCCACGTGGTGGTTGGTTGATTGCGACAGTGAGTGCTGCTTTGCACTACGGTCAGCTGGAGCTGTCATTTGAGTTGTATGTTGTTGAGCTTGCATGTTCTCCAATGTCCGTGTCTAAAATTCTGTGTCTCACTTCCCAGGCACCCAGCCATCAGCTACACAGGTGATGATGTCAGCCAAGTGAGTACTTGGGAACCAGTTCTCACTTGTGTGTGTGCCGCTGTGGCTGTGCTTGGTGCTGTGTGTCTGGCTCACCAGGCCCCCAGTCAAGAGCTAACCCTCAAGGCTTTAAGGAAGCAGGTGGTGGCAGCAGTGAAGCAGCACCTGACGAGGACTTAATTTTCATTCACTCGTGTGTTCTCCACTCTCTGTGCTTAATGCTGTGTGTATCTCTCACCAGGCCCCCAGTCAACAGCTAACCCTCAAGGCTTTAAGGAAGCAGGTGGTGGCAGCAGCCAAGCAAGTACTGGCGGAGCAAAGCACAGAGCAGGGTGGAGCAGGCAACGGAGCAGGGAGGGGCGGCAAGAATGAGCTGCTGGGCGCCTTTCAACGCACTGTGAGCTCTCTTCCACACTCGCGCTCCCTCCCTCTTGAGCAAGGAAACTCTTGAGAACCCTTGCTTCCTTTTGCCACATGACCCCTTACTCAGGTTCTGCTTTTCCTAGGTGCCCCGGATAATTCCAGCAGTCTCCCATCCTCACTTTTGAAGGACTATTTTGATGTGTGTGTGTGTGTGTGCCATACTGCAACAGCTTCTCTTGTGTCATTCACTGGTCCCATCCCAACCAATCGTGTGTGTGCAGCTGGAGAAGAGCAAGGCATTTATCGTTGAAGAGGATAAAGTGAAGTTGAACTGATGGTTGGATTAACAGGATATTTCGGGCTACACCATCACAAGCTACAAGGATCCATCGAAAGCATGATTGATCACTGATTATTGCCGGAATAATCTGTGTGTCTTGTCGGCTAAATACATTGACAAGTGTCAAAGCGTTGACGGCCTCAGATAGGATTTTGGGCATCCTGACGGCTCAGGGCATGCCCCCAAAGAAGCGTGCAGCAGTCAGGGCTGGACGCCATGGCTCACACTGATTAGTCAGGGTTGTTTTCTAGGTTCAAACTGTCGCCTCAGGGTAAATTTATAAATTGCCTGAAATGTGGCTCAAGGTCACTTAGCTGCATCAGCAGCAGCAACAGCAATACAAAGCTCTAACACTAGAAGTTCCCATCATCATCATCACTGGAGTTAAACCCGCTGCTAGCACAGCTGTCCTCTACCTCACGGTCCTCCTCCTCAGACAGTTCTATCACCTTCTCCTTGCCCTTGGCCGTCTTCTTGGGGCGTACAATTTCTGAAAAGCTCTCCTCGGTCTGCGTTTCTTGAGGCCACGCCACACGTCAATGACCTCATCCCAGTCCATCTCATAATCCAGCAAACTCATACACATCAGGTCCTCCAGCTTCCCATTTCAGAGACTCATGCGATTCCAACTTTTGATGACATTCTGACGCGAGAATCCCCTCTCGCACTCGACAGTGCTTAGGGGAAGTACCGCCACAGCCACCCACAATCGCACAAGGTTGGGGTAGCTGCGCGGCCAGTCACTGGTCTCGAGGATGGCGGCGAGACCAGCATGGAAGGGCTGCTCGTCCTTTGGTACACCAGCAAGCACAGGAAGGAGGGTACCAAGCTCCTTCCGCGCCAGGCGCTTGTCGACACCTGCCACACATGAACAGTTTCACGGAAAACATAGAAATCCGTCAGTAACTCGAGCAACAACATCAAGAGCACAGCAAAACATGCATACAGTGGGATGATACATGCACATGACCTTACCTGGCAGGATCTCCGCTCGGTCGGTGGCACGAAACAGCTCGACGACTCCGTCCAGGTGTTCGGCACACTCCTCGTTCCGCGCCTCCGTGTTCCGCGGCCAGGAGCGAGGCATCCACAGCTTCGCCCCGTTGAGGCGCTCTAGATCGCCGAGCCGGAGCTGCATGTTGTAGACGAGCTCCGTCGCATAGGAGCGGCAGGTTAGGTTGCATGACGCTTGGTCTCCGCGGGCAGTGGTGTATTTCGGGAGCGGCTCCTCGTGCAGCTTGAACTGATACACACGCTCCACGCCCTCCGCATCGATGCCAGTCACGATGACCTTACGGCTGTTGCTGTGGCGCTCCAGAAACTGAGATAGTCGCGCGCTGGTGGCGCCAAAGTTGGGCCCGCAGTTGATGTAGCGCGAACGAAGGAAGACGACGGTCCGTCGGACCTGAGATTGCACACCCGTCAGGTCGACCTGTGGGGGCGGGTGGGGGTAGAAGACATGCAGAAGCTGTAGGTCGGGGTTTAGGGGGGCAAGAGGGTAACATACACGGCGGGTAATGCACCTCTCGCTTTTGGAAAAGCTGGTTGAGCGTGTTCAGCTCCTCGTGGACGTCGGCCAGGAAGTATAGGAAGAAGTGGAATTTGTATGACGTGACGATTTGGTACATCGGCTTGTCGTAGAGGTGAAGGAGGACGATGACGGCGGGAAGAACTGCGACCAGTCTGAGAATCGTTGCGCCTCGACTGAGCCAGCAAACGAGATGTATCCCCTGCATCTCCAAATTTGTGGCGGTGAAGATCTTCTGCAACTCCTTGAACATGGCGTGCCAGTTGTGCGACCGCCCCAGTAGCTCAGCCACTGCTCGGATTATGGCGTCGACGATGCCAAGCTCCGGCAACGCGATGGCGGCATCCCTTGCTGCCAGAGCTTCCCTGATAGGGGGGAGGAATGGAACAAGCATAAAGAGCATGAGTAAGTGTGGCCAAGATTCAATACGAGACAATGAGCAATCATTACGTTACGAACCGATGCGAAATGCAATGTATTGACACGAGGTGCGGAATTCTCTGTCACAGGCGTCCGACGACGCCATTGGTTGCTCCGACCATCACGGCTGCGCCGTCGGTGCTGATGCCCGCCACTTTGTTCAAGGGGAGGCTGATGCTGTCAAGGAACGTGACCAGGGAAGCCTCCAACGAGGCCGCATCACACTTGTTGACAGGTAAAAGGGTCAGGAACTCTGTCACAACGACGGGCTCTCGTAGGAACGTGGCAAACACAATCATGTGTTTGCCACGAACCCTGTCCGTGCTCTCATCGCAGCTCAGACCGATGAAAGGGCTAGACTCGAGATACTCCCTCTGACGAGCTCGCAGGTAGATGGCGGTGGACTTGGTGAGCTCTTGAAATCCATACCTGCACAAGACGTAGATGCAACACGCATGTCAGTAAGTGCCCGTCAAGAGCATATAGTGAGCTGCAGAAATCAGACGAAGGGATTTACGTGGTGAGGTATGACCCATAGCCGCGCTTGGGGAAACCCGGAGTTCGTCGCTTGGAGAGGTGGCGCACCAACTGGACCCACATCTCAATGGGCGCATCGCTCTGACAAATGAACAAGAGCGTCTCGAGCAGTGCCGTGACGCATTCTCGCTGGATCCTGTTGGTCCTCGGCATGTCCTCCATGCGCAGCTGTCCCTCTGCAGTCGCAGTCGCGATAACTTGCTTCCGCATCGCCCGCTTGTGCTTGCGTGTGCGCTGGTGGTTCTGCATGGCTTGAGTCTGCACATCAGTCGCCCCCTCCCCACCCTTGCCGTAGTTTGTGCCCACGCCACCGTGTTCCATACAGATGCGGCACTTAAGAGCCGGAAAACCTGCGCGCGTATGACACAGGACAAGCCACGGGAAGTCAGTGCTCCAACGTTTCTTGTACTGCCAAAGAGCCTCTTGATACTTGCGCTCTGCAATTTGTTCAAGCTCAGATTCGGAGGACGATGCGGGAGCGGGAGAAGGTTCTGGAATGACAGAGGGGACAACGCGGAGCGCGGGTGCAGTTGACTCTGGGGTGCGACCGAAGTTGAGCGTGGCCTGCCGATGTCGTGATGGCTCCAATTTCTTCGACCGTGGGCCGATGCGAGTTGATCCATGCGTCAGCGAAATCTCTGGCGAAGAGCCGTGCCGCGACGTCGACGCCACAGCGGGGCGAGATGCCTCTACCACGGCCTCTACTGAGCGCGTACGAGGCGCTGATGCGGCAACGGGAGGTGGCACTCCAAGGGCGGGTGTTGGGAATAGAGCGGCGAGAGAACGCGATGCAGCGGCAGGGGTACGCGATGCAGGAGCGCGATCTAGCACAGCAGCGACATGGGGACTCTTCCGAAGATAATCTAATCCAGAAACGCCGCTAGTGCGGTTTGCTGTAGCAGGCTCGGCGGGAGCCTCCCCATCGTCATCGTCACTTCCTGTCGCAGTCATCGTGCCCCCAATGCTAGGGGGATAGGGACTGCGCAGAAACAGAACTGCTAGGAGGAATTCACTACGGTAGCACGAGCAGTGTAAACAACTACAGAATCGACTTCAACCACGGCTGGAGAGGGAAGCTTGAGGAAGAAGGTCGGAAGGAACAGAGGCTGCTTGGTCGAGTTGCAGGACCACGGTTCATTGTTGCCCAGCCAACCAACCACATGCAACCGTTGTTTGCTGCCAAACACTTTGACAGCACCACACTGCTTGTACAGCAACGCTGCATATCAAGTGTTGCGCTGGATGGTATACTTAGCCGCTATTTGCCCGTTCCATTTGTTATCTGCAGCGCAGGCGGCAAACTCAGCGCGCTGTGACAGCTAAGGCAGCATAATACAGGGAAAATGTGTGCTGTCACGAAATTCTCGGCTGACTGGGCGAAAAACAGGGGGGTACCGCGGGGCGCGCATGTGCAGGCAAGATTCCATGTATCAGGGTCATCCCCGAAGGCATCCTGACTGCTCAGGGCTGGTACATGCACACCATACTGAGTTTTCAGGGTTGCACTATGAATCAAAAACTGAATTTACAGGGTGAAAATGGGCCTTAAACTGAATTTTCAGGACCGGCCCTAAACAAGCATCCTGAAAATCAGGAATTCAGGATAAAACATCCTGATATCTGAGGGCCTTGACGTTATTATATACATGTTAGAACATATATACTATGTACGGTAGGCTAGTTAGGATCATTCCTTACAACACTTCGCATATCCCTGTACTCTCATCTTCCCTAGTCAACTGTCCTCTCGATATTTTGACATGGTATCAGAGCTAGCTGTAGGATGTCAACTTATACATATGCTTTATATGTAAAAGTTATAGGCTAGATAGGTTTGTGTTCTTAGAGGGCACAAAACCAACCCTAAATGTCCCCTGTATCTCCTTGTTCTAGTCACTTCGCTACTCTGAGATAGTATCACGCCACGTAAGTCCTGAAATAACTTGTCTTATGTTGTAGAAGACTAAGTATAAAACTACAAATAAGAATACTTGGAAATCCTCAAGTGTTGGTCCAGGATCTTTACTGGAATGGTAGACTAGTTAAGACAGCGGAAGTCTTGTAAAGGATAACTGTCAAATATTGAATAACCTGAGTACTTGAACTTGTGGATAATCAAAAGTTAATAATGAAAAGACCTAACAAGGATTTTATAGTTCTAGGGAAAGTACCTATTCGCTAATGTACCTGTTCGTCACTATCGCGCTATGCGCTCTAAACGATAATGAAGAGGTGCGACTGTTCGCGTGACTGAAACGACTGTCCTATGACGAGCGCTATTTGCTGACGTCATTCTACGGACTTATGCTCTACAGTAAGATTCGACACTATCTACAACTAATCGACTTACAGAAATGCTAAGTATCAATTATATCATAACAAGTCCCACCCTCCCGCGCTTCCGCCCTAGCCTACTGTCAAGCGCTCCGCACCAGCTTGCCGCGCCTGCCCTAGCCCTTCGCGCCGCGCTGGCCCTAGCTCCCCGAGCCGTACTGGCCCCTAGCTCACCGCGCTGGCCTCAGCCCGCCGCGTCGGCCCTGTCTCGCCACGCCGCCCTAGCTCGCCATGACGGCCCCAGGTAGCCGCGCGGCCACCAGCTCGCCGTCGGCCCCAGCTCTCCACCGGCCCCAGCTCTACGCGCGGCCACCAGCTCGTCGCCGGCCCCCGCTCCCCACGCGGCCCCCTGCTCACCGCTGGCCCCAGCTCGCCGCCGGCCCCAGCTTGCCGCCGGCTCCAGCTCGCCGCCGGCCCCAGCTCGCTGCCGGCCCCAGCTCGCCGTCGGCCCCAGCTCGCCGCGCGGCCCCTAGCTCGCCGGCTCCAGCTCGCGGCGTGGCCCCCAGCTCGCCGCCGGCCCCCAGATCGCCGTGGCCCCCCTGCTCGCCGTCGGCCCCGGTTCACCGACGGCCTGAGCTCGCCACGCGGCCCCCAGCTCGCCGCCGGCCCCAGCTCACCACGTGGCCCACAGCTTGACGCAGCCCCATGCTCGATGTTGGCCCCGGCTCATCGCCGGCCCCAACTCGCTGCCGGCCCCAGCTTGCCGCGCTGCCCCAGCTTGCCATACTGCCCCAGCTAACCGTCGGCTTCGGCTCGCCGCGCCGCCTCAGCTTACCGTGCCGGCCCCTGCTCGCCGCCGGCCCCGACTCGCTAGCGGCCTTGGTTTCTCCTCTGTGCCGACGCTCCCGCTGGCTGTCTCCTCTCTTGCGGCCTCACCGCACTCTACCGCACTCCACCACACTCCATCACACCCCGCCGTATACTGCCGCACTCCACCACACCCGCCTGCCCCCATGCTCCTCCTCCGCCTGAGCTCTCCACCTGCTGCAGCTGTACGTGATGGCGGATGCTGTTCTCCGCCTGGACGCAGGGGGTTGAGCTGTCAATTTTGAGGCGTGGCTCGCCAACGCGCGTCTTCAGTTGAAGGGTCAGCGCCAGGATGGCCAGTCCCTGGCCGTCCATGTTGACGATAAGCTGCCCCCTCGTGCCTACTGCCGTACCTGACGCCCCCACGCCTGCTGAGCGTGAGGCTTTCACCGCTGCTGAGCTCGCTCGCTCTGTCTGGGAGTCGTGTGACACCACTCCGCAACTACCTATCAGCCACGCTCTCCCCCTGTTCGAGCGTTCCCACTTTCACGCCTTAGAGACGGCCAAGGAGTACCTAGATGCCATCATTGCTCACTATTCCACTCCCTCATCTGCCGTCATTGCTCGCTATTCCACTTGCCTCTTCTTGCCCTTGCTCTTTCCCGATCTCGCGTCCTTCCCTACTCTCGCTGATCTTGCCACTCACCTGTGCACGCTTGAGACTAGCTACCGCGCTGCTAGCATTGAGGCTCAGCTCACTGTACTTCCTCCCCCTCTCGGCGCTACACTTGATTTCTTAGCCACGCGCCACCCCGACCGCGTAGCCACTGCCCGCGACACCTTCCTTAGCCTCCACCCCGCTGACCTCACCCTTAGCGACTTCGTCGCCACCCTGGCGGCGATAGAGATCCACCAACGCACTATCAGTCTAGCGGCACTACGGCGGTCCCTATCTTCCAAGGCTGTGCTCCTTCCTAGTGCACTTACTCTGACGTTTCCGCTGTTGTCGCTGTGACAATTCCTGTCGCTGAGACCGTCACGGTGGCTGCAGCGCAGCCTCGACAGGGTAGAGGTCCCCCACGCCCCAGAGGGGGGCGTACGGGAGGGAAGGGTGGTGGGGGTGGTGGGGGTGGCGGGGGAGGTGGTGGTGGTGGGAGTGCTGGGAATGGAGACGAGCGGGTGGGAGCAAACCCCAGAGCAGCAGCGGGAGCGGGAGCAGCAGCAGCAGCAGCAAGAGCCGCAGTGGTAGCAGCAGCAACAACAGTGGGGAGCCCCGCCGCCGTGGTGGCCAGGCGGCTTCGGTGGTGGTGGCCGCGGAAATGGCCCTCGCAGCTCGACGTCGGGTGGCGACTCCAGTCCTGTGAGCTGCCAGTACCAGATCCAGTCAGGTCCCCTTCGTGGCACCGTGTGTAACCATCCCGGTCACACCTCTGCCCACTGCTACCACTGCCTCGACGACCTCTTCCATCTCCGCCTCGGGCCCACGCCGTCCCTCCTGGACTAGCACAGCCTGGTACGCGGTCGTGTGCCAGTCTTTGAGTTAGATATGGATCATATTCGTTCTGCTATGTATGCCATGTATCCTGATGACTCTAGTATGACTGGACCATATTACCATGTATTGCCTAGCCTAGGTGTGTCTGCTGTGTGTAGTCTTGGCTCCCCTGCTATATCAGGTGTAGGACCTCCTGCCTTGTTTAGCCTTGGCTCCACGCTAGTGCACCCGCCAGTTGACGCTACTGACGTGCTCTCCTTCATGTTGGACACTAGTGCGTCTGCCTGTTTCTGTCGCGACCACACCACTCTCACGTCGCTTGCCGCCCCAGCAGCTGACGCCCTTGCTGTGCCTTCCTCCGGTTCGCTAGTTGCACGTAGCTCCACCACACTTCTCTGTCTGGCGGTTCCCTCAGGCACACTACATGTAAGCATATCCCCTCGTTCTCCCCGAACCTAGTTGGTGTCGGCTGTCTTCAGGATCTCGGCGTCACCACTATGTTTCCTGGACACGAGCGGTACGCAGTCTGTACCGGGGCCGCCACTTGTGCCCCCCTCATCACGTTCCCCCCGGACACAGTGTCTGGGCTGTTCACGCTGGACACCGCATCCCCCCAGGTGGCTGCATCTGCGCAGGTTGCTGTGGCTTGCTCGTATCCATCGTTGAATCACCCGTCGCTTCTGTGGCACCACCGCCAAGGTCACCCCGCCCTCCTGCATCTGCGTTACATGTCCCATGACGGTCTTGTCTTAGGTCTCCCTGCGTCACTTCCTGCCCTCCTTCCCTCGCCTGTGCCTCCGTGCACGCCTTGCGTCGAGGGCCGGCTAAGTCGTGCTCCTCACTCCTCCTTTTATTCCCCCGACCCCTGCGCCACTCCAAACCCTGCAATTGGATGTCAAGGGCCGAGCCCCGGTCCATGGGCTGTGCCGAGAGCGCTATGTTCTAGTGCTTGTTGACGACTACACGCGCTACACCACGGTGTTCCCTCGGGAGAAGAAGGCCGACGTGCTTGACGTTCTTATCCTGTGGCATGTAGCTGCGCGAATCCACTACGCCCAGCTAGTGCTGCATCTTCACTCTGACCGTGGCGGTGAGTTTGCCTCCGGTAGCCTTGGCCAGTTCTGTTGTGCAGAGGACATCACCCAGACGTACACCTTGCCAGAATCCCCACAGCAGAATGGGGTTGTTGAGAGACGCATCGGTTTGGTCATGGAGGTGGCTCGTACTTCCAGAATCCATGCCGGTGCACCCCATTTTCTGTGGCCGTTCGCTGTTCGCTACGCCGCTCACCTGCTTAACCTATGGCCGCGCTCCCAGCTGCCGCAGGTTCTGCTGACCCTTCTTTGGACGGAGTTCCCTGGTGACGCATCTACGTTTCACGTCTGGGGCTGCCTAGCTCACGTCCGCGACTCTTGCGCGGACAAGCTGACTGCCTGCAATGTTCCTTGTGTCTTCCTTGGTTTCCCACTTGACACTTTTACCACCCGCCGTCTCACCGGCTCTTTTATTTGCGTAACGTCACCTTTGACGAGTCTGTCTCCTTTTACACCCGCTTTTCCCACCAAGGTCTCACAGTTATCCCACCCCTGTTTCTTGCTCTCACTCCCCCGGTAGCTCCTGCTTCCCGTCCTGCCCCGTCTGGTGTGTCGCACGTCACCCCCCTTCTTTCAGTTGACCCAGCGGAGGAGTCTGCTAACTCCAAGGGCCCTGAGGCTCGTTGTTCGCTGCCTATTTCTGCGGCGCCTACACCCTTGGCCCTGGTTTCTCCTCTGCCGATGCAGCAATAGTAGCCGCAACAACAGCCGCAGCCGCAGCAACAGTCGCCGCTGCCATCGCTGCAACAGTAGCCGCTGTAACAGCAGGGGGTCTTTTGACTCTAGGGGTGTTGACGCTGGGGGTGCTGTCCTGGCGAGGTCTAGAGGTAGCCATGGTGCGGCAGGAGTTCCTAGTGTGGGCGCAGAGCAGTTGCACCAGCCGCAGCAGCCGCAGTCGGCGCCAATTTCTACCCTTTGTCTCCTCAGTCTTCCCTCTCCCGACCGACCGCCTACGCCTCCCCCATCGCCGTCTCCACCTCCTATCTATGGCCCTGTGTTCCCTCCACCGGACTCCTCCCCGGCTCGTTTCCCCCCTCGTTCTCCTCTTATGTCTCCTCCCTTGTCTCCTAACCTTACACCCCCCTCTCGCTGGTGGTCTCATCGCACCTCTCGTGCTCATCCTGTCTCTCCCACTCCGAGTGTTCAACCTATGTCTCTTCGCTCTCACGCGTCTCGTGCTCCTCCCCCTCCTCTTCTCCTGTCGCCTCCTCAGTCGTCTCTCGCTGTCTCCCCGCCTCCTTTCTCTGAATTCCTCCGTGCTGCTCGCCCTCTGGTTCCTCGTGTCCTCGCCTCTCTTGTTACTGACCCGTCCGTTCCTGTTTCCAGTCTCGTCGCTCTTGTCGCTTCCGTTGCTGACTTTGCCTCTACCCGCCACCTTGACTACGCTACTGCTCGGGTCTTTGAACCTGCCCATCCTCAGTCTGTGAGGGTGCATCTGCCCTTGGCAGTGACGTCCTAGAAGACAGGCAGTACAAGATTGCTTTCCTGTCCAAGGCCGCTCCTCATCTCTACTCCATCTCATCTCTTGACATTCTAACCCCTCGCACCTACGCTGAGGCGACTTCGGGACCCTAGGCCTCTCAGTGGATAGCTGCCATGGACATAAAGATGGCATCTTGGAGATCCATCGGCACCTACGTCGACGCAGTTCCCCCACCTTGGGCGAACATAGTAGATGGCTGGTGGCTCTTCAACGTGAGACGCTCTCCTGGAGAGCCGCCGGTATTCAAGGCACACTACATTGCTAGGGGCTTCAGTCAACGCGTTCAGACCTTCTCTCCGACCCCGAAGATGACCACTCTTCAGGCGTTGCTTTACGTAGGAGCACATCGCGACTACGAGCTTCACTCGCTGGACTTCTCCACTGCGTTCCTCCAGGGCAGTCTGCACGAGCAAATCTACCTGCGTCGTCCGCTAGACTTCTCTAGCACTTTCCCTCCTGCGACCCAGTGGTTCCTCTGGCGCCTGGTTTACAGTCTGCGACAGGCGGCCCGAGAGTGGCACAACACGCCGCGTGCTACACTAGTAGACCTTCAGGTCTTTCCGTCCTCTACTGACCCGTCGCTCTTCGTTCGCTCAGGCCAGACTTCGTTCTACATCCTAGTCTACGTAGATGACCTGGTCTTCGTTACTACTGTCAGAGACGCACTGGCCTCAGTGAAGGCCGAGCTGCTGAGGAGACACACCTGAACTGACAAAGGAGAGCTGCGCCGCTACCTTGGGCTGCAGATCTCCAGGGATGGAGCAGTGCGCACCATCACTCTCACACAGTCACACTTGGTGCGCCAAGTCTTTTAGAGGTTTGGCCTTCAATTCTCCTCTGCACAACCCACCCCTGTGCCAATTGACTATAGGCTCTCAGCTCCGGTCCCTGACGAGCCCGTTGAGCCCAGTGGTCAGTACGCAGAGCTTGTGGACTACTTCATGTACCTGATGACTTGCACTCGTCTAGATCTCGCATACCCTCCTAGTATCCTTGCTTGCTTTTTTGCGTTAGGCAGACACTGACCCCAGCACTGGTGGGGCATTAAGAGGGTTTTGCGCAGCAGCTGACTAGCCGCCGTCAACAGCTTGCTTGCAGATCGCCGCTGCCAACTTGCCGCCAGCTTGCCGCCGTCAGCAGCTCACTAGCCGCTGCCCGCTCACCGCCAGCCTAGCCGCCGCCAGCGCCTGTCGGCTAGCTGCCAGCAGTGCCGGCCAGCTTGCCGCCTTCATAGCTTACCCGTTAGCCGCCAGCAACGCCTGCCGGCTCGCCGCTAGCTGCGCTTGCCAGCAACGCCTGCCAGCTCGCCGCCAGCACCGCTCGCCAACTCCCCAGCTTGCCAGCTCACTCGCCAGCTCACCGGCTAGCCCACTCGTCAGCGCGCCAGCCTCTTCGCTCGCTCACTCGCTCACCAGCTCACCGCCTGAGCGCCACCTTACTGCCCGCAGCTGCCAGCTCGCCAGCTCGCTCACAGCTACCCACCTCTTGCTACCATCCCGCCGCGAGCTAGCTACCATTGCCGCCTTACTGTCACGAGCTACTGCTGCGGTCAGCCTGCTGCTAGCCGCTGCTGCTACTAGCCTCCTGCTCGCTGCCATGAGTTCTGCTAGCCGCCATTGCCAAACCGCCAATCTGGCCACAACCACCACTGCTGCTACGTCCGTTAGTGCTCCTTCATCCCTCACGCCCCCCACTAGTCTCCTCCTCATCTCTAGTTTTCCTCGACGCCTCTCCACTCGGCATGACGACCTCATTGGGATCATTCCCTCGGCCGGATGGCCGGACAGTTCCCTTTGCTCTACGGCTTCTCGCTCATTACCTACATTTGGTGAGCCCGCACGTAGACTGCACGCTCCTGGAGGACCACATCTTTGTTATTTAGATTCAAGCTCCACGACCTCGAGGTACGCTACCGGGCTGCTTGCCCCTCGCAGCAGCAGTAGCAGCATCAGCAGAAGCCGCAGTGGGGTCTTGGGCGTGTTGGGCACGGTGGAGGCCCTGGAGGTGGGGGCCTGAGGCGGTCACTGCCCTAGGGGCCGTGTGGTTTCTCTTCAGGCCAGGGGGCCAGGGGGGCATAGGGCCTGGGGGTTTGGGGGTCTCGGTCTCACTACTATGTCTAGTCTAGGAGCCACTACTACATGTCCCCTAGGCTCCTCCCCTGGGCCTACTACGACGACCCTCTCATTTACACTAGACTCTGGC